GGGGAGGGGGAGGTGACAGAAGTCTGGGTGCGTGAGTATACACACTGCTTTTGGGGGAGGGGGAGGTGACAGAAGTCTGGGTGCGTGAGTATACACACTGCTTTAGGGGGAGGGGGAGGTGACAGAAGTCTGGGCGCGTGAGTATACACACTACTTAAGGGGGAGGTGATAGAAGTCTGGGTGTGTGAGTATACACACTGCTTTAGGGGGAGGGGGAGGTGATAGAAGTCAGGGCGCGTGAGTATACACACAACTTAAGAGGGAGGGTGAGTTGATAGAAGTCAGGACGCGTGAGTATACACACTGCTTTAGGGGGAGTTGACAGAATTCAGGACGCGTGAGTATACACACTGCTTTAGGGGGAGGGGGAGGTGATAGAAGTCAGGGTGCGTGAGTATACACACTACTTTAGGGGGAGGTGACAGAAGTCAGGACGCGTGAGTATACACACTGCTTTAGGGGGAGGGGGAGGTTATAGAAGTCAGGGTGCGTGAGTATACACACTACTTTAGGGGGAGGTGACAGAAGTCAGGAAGCGTGAGTATACACACTGCTTTAGGGGGAGGGGGAGGTGATAGAAGTCAGGGTGCGTGAGTATACACACTGCTTTAGGGGCCCCCTAACAAGCAGCTTGATATAGTAATTAAATAAAATCACACGTTGATGCCTCTGTGTTTGTGGGGCAATCTATGTATAACTTGCATGTATTGGTGGGGCAATCTATGTATAACTTACATGTATTGGTGGGACAATCTATGTATAACTTACATGTATTGAATTTAAAGCAAATAGAAAATTTCAGTGTTTTGTATTGTTTTCTGTTATACTTCAATTTATCAGTTGTAGTTTTCAATGTTTTTGGTAACGTAACTCATTAATTTCATCATGTGTAATAAGTGTCCTGTGCTAAACACATATATCCTTTTTGATGTATTCAATGTCACATGTGATAATTCTTGTACAACTTTCTGTGTGCAGGGTGAAGGTGACATTTTATGCCCTTACAGTTGGGAAGGATTACCGGTCATTCCGGAGCGGGATTGATACATTAAAGGTGCTAAAAAAGAAAATAAAAGATTCAGGGTCACATCTCCTCAACTTCCGTGTTTTGGCCATTGACACTGAGGGTAAGTCCAGGGAAGAGCACTATTGGAAACACAACAGATCAAATTCATGTCAATTGTCAACTCAACACTGTTTTCAGATTGATGATTTGTTGCATTCTGTGCTTATACTTCAGTGTCCCATCACTTTGCATTCTGTGCTTATACTTCAGTGTCCCATCACTTTGCATTCTGTGCTTATACTTCAGTGTCCCATCACTTTGCATTCTGTGCTTATACTTCAGTGTCCCATCACTTTGCATTCTGTGCTTATACTTCAGTGTCCCATCACTTTGCATTCTGTGCTTATACTTCAGTGTCCCATCACAATGTATTCTGTCTCAATTCGCTGTCATCATTTTCACGATTTCATTTCTGAATGGATTGTGATAAAAAATTACAAAAGTCAAGTACAAGAATACCTCATTACCATATATGAAAATTTGTCTAAAATGTCACTGCATGAGAGCTGGGGCGTTTATATACCAATGCATTTCAGACATTTTCTAGTTGATACAGAAATTCGTCCAGCAAAAGGGCTATATAGATTCTGTTTTATATGGGATAGATACTATAAATTTTGTTTCCCCCCAAAAAAAACAGATAAAATTATGAGGCCCGTTCCTTCCTCTATGCCACACTTTGACTCTATGCCACACTTTGACTCTATGCCACACTTTGACTCTATGCTACACTTTGACTCTATGCCACACTTTGACTCTATGCCACACTTTGCCACACTTTGACTCTATGCCACACTTTGACTCTATGCCATGCCTGTAGTGTATGTCTTGGTCCCTGTCTCTATGCTGTATTACCTGTATATTGATTCTTGTATCTTTTATTTACAGTTTGTCAGAATAACTGTTCAAACCATGGCCATTGTGATATTAAAACAAGAAAGTGTGTGTGTGATGCCTTTTGGATGCAGGACCTGTTCGTTTCGTATTTTTTTGATGGCGAGAGTAACTGCAGTAAGTATATATATATATGATATAATAAAATCTTGTGGTTAGTGTTATATAAAAGACATTTCTATATTTGGCTAAAATCTACCTGTATAAACTTCGAAAAAAATAAAGAAAAATATCTCTTCCAATCAGAACTGTCTGTTTATTCTTATCATTGATCAAGTATACTTTCAAGACATTTAATGTTTGGTAAAAAAAAGCACTCAACTGTCTTGTTTAGTGCATTTAATTTTAAAAGTCATATTTTGTTCAAAAAACAATCTTTGATCCTGTCCCCCTCCCCTCATATAAGTTGTCACTGGTAAATGACACGTGATTTGAACAAAAACATTGAAATCCTGACTTGATGAGGATGTGTTGTCTCCCTTAGATTGGAGTGTGCTGTATGTTGTGATAATCACATTCATGATTGTCGTGAGTCAGGCTGCTATGGTGTGGGGCATCATCTGCTTCTGTAAAAAACGCAGGTAAGTGTACATTTTGAAGAGTCAGCTTTTTCAAGGGGGAAAAATCAGAATGATAAATTTTAAAAAGCCTGCTTACGAAGAAAAGTATGATAAAGAGTATAAAATTGCATGCTTCTAAAGAAACGAAGGCAAATGCAAATTTGTGGTTTTTGTTTTCCTTTTAAAACTGTTAGACAACTGTCATGTTGCCCTCCTTAGTCTTTTAGTATTAGCTTTGATCAATTGATTGATGGGGCTCTATGTCCTTGTTTTGGTTAATACTGAGCCTAGGACCAAACTATCCACCCTGTCACCCAAACCACCGTGTTTGTTAGTAAGATGTCATGTGACCCTCACAAGTCTGTTCAGGATTAGACACCAACTTTCAGTGATTGGTAGTTCACAGAACTAGTTAAACAGGGTATATATGGTAGTCCTGCGTCAGTGTAACTTGTCCAAGATTTCTGTAGAAATACACTTTCAGCACCTAACATTAGAAGTAATGGTCTGTAGGGGAGATAAAATAAGTACTGCTATAGAGATAAAATAAGTACTGCTATAGGGATAAATATGTACTGCTATAGAGATGAAAAAATAAGTACTGCTATAGAGATAAAATAAGTACTGCTATAGAGATAAAATATGTACTGCTATAGAGATAAAATAAGTACTGCTATAGAGATAAAATATGTACTGCTATAGAGATAAATATGCACTGCAATAGAGATGAAAAAATAAGTACTGCTATAGAGATAAAAAAATAAGTACTACTATAGAGATAAAAAAATAAGTACAGCTATAGAGATAAAAAAATAAGTACTACTATAGAGATAAAACAAGTACTGCTATAGAGATAAAATAAGTACTGCTATAGAGATAAAATATGTACTGCTATAGAGATAAAATAAGTACTGCTATAGAGATAAAATATGTACTGCTATAGAGATAAAATAAGTACTGCTATAGAGATAAAATATGTACTGCTATAGAGATAAAATAAGTACTGCTATAGAGATAAAATATGTACTGCTATAGAGATAAAATAAGTACTGCTATCGAGATAAAAAAAAAAGAAGGTACTGCTATAGAAATAAAAAAAATAAGTACTGACATAGAGGAGATAAAATAAGTACTGCTATAGAGATGAAAAAATAAGCACTGATATAGAGGAGATAAAATAAGTACTGCTATAGAGATGAAAAAATAAGCACTGATATAGAGGAGATAAAATAAGTACTGCTATAGAGGAGATATAATAAGTACTGCTATAGAGGAGATAAAATAAGTACTGTTATAGAGATGAAAAAATAAGTACTGCTATAGAGGAGATAAAATAAGTACTGCTAGAGAGATGAAAAAATAAGTACTCCTATAGAGGAGATAGAATAAGTACTGCTATAGAGAAGATGAAATAAGTATTGCTACAGAGGAGATAAAATAAGTACTGCTATAGAGGAGATGAAATAAGTACTGCTATAGAGGAGATAAAATAAGTACTTCAATAGAGATGAAAAAATAAGTACTGCCATAGAGGAGATATAATAAGTACTGCTATAGAGGAGATAAAATAAGTACTAGAGGAGATGAAATAAGTATTGCTATAGAGGAGATAAAATAAGTACTGCTAAAGAGGAGATAAAATAAGTACTTCTATAGAGATGAAAAAATAAGTACTGCCATAGAGGAGATATAATAAGTACTGCTATAGAGGAGATAAAATAAGTACTGCTAGAGAGATGAAAAAATAAGTACTCCTATAGAGGAGATAGAATAAGTACTGCTATAGAGAAGATGAAATAAGTATTGCTATAGAGGGGATAAAATAAGTACTGCTATAGAGGAGATAAAAAAAGTACTGCTATAGAGGAGATAAAACAAGTACTGCTATAGAGATAAAATAAGTACTGCTATCGAGATAAAAAAAAAAGGTACTGCTATAGAAATAAAAAAAATAAGTACTGACATAGAGGAGATAAAATAAGTACTGCTATAGAGATAAAAAAATAAGTACTACTATAGAGATAAAATAAGTACTGCTATAGAGATAAAATATGTACTGCTATAGAGATAAAATAAGTACTGCTATCGAGATAAAATAAGTACTGCTATAGAGATAAAAAAATAAGTACTACTATAGAGATACAAAAATAAGTACTGCTATAGAGATAAAAAAATAAGTACTACTATAGAGATAAAAAAATAAGTACAGCTATAGAGATAAAAAAATAAGTACTACTATATAGATAAAACAAGTACTGCTATAGAGATAAAAAAAGTACTGCTATCGAGAAAAAAAAAAAAAAGGTACTGCTATAGAAATAAAAAAAATAAGTACTGACATAGAGGAGATAAAATAAGTACTGCTATAGAGGAGATAAAATAAGTACTTCTATAGAGATGAAAAAATAAGTACTGCCATAGAGGAGATAAAATAAGTACTGCTATAGAGGAGATAAAATAAGTACTGCTACAGAGATAAAATAAGTGTGTTAGTGTTTATCTCTGCTGTTAGCATGCTGCTTTGTGAGCCTCATTAGTTCTGTCCAGTACATGTATTGATGATTTTACAGGTGTGTTAGTGTGTATCTCTGCTGTTAGTAATCTGCTTTGTGAGTCTCATTAGTTCTGTCGAGTACATGTATCGATGATTTTACAGCTGTGTTAGTGGTTATCTCTGCTGTTAGTAAGCTGCTATATGTGAGCCACATTAGTTCTGTCCAGTACACGTATTGATGATTTTACAGGTGTGTTAGCGTTTATCTCTGCTGTAAGTAAGCTGCTATATGTGAGCCTTATTAGTTCTGGCCAGTACATGTATCGTTGATTTTACAGGTGTGTTGGTGTTTGTCTCTGCTGTTAGTAACCTGCTATGGGAGCCTCATTAGTTCTGTCCAGTACACGTATTGATGATTTTACAGGTGTAAATGTAAATGGGAGATGAAATAAGTATTGCTATAGAGATAAAATAAGTACTTCTATAGAGATGAAAAAATAAGTACTGCCATAGAGGAGATATAATAAGTACTGCTATAGAGATGAAAAAATAAGTACTCCTATAGAGGAGATAAAACAAGTACTGCTATAGAGAAGATGAAATAAGTATTGCTATAGAGATAAAATAAGTACTTCTATAGAGATGAAAAAATAAGTACTGCCATAGAGGAGATATAATAAGTACTGCTATCGAGGAGATAAAATAAGTTCTGCTATAGGAGATGAAAAAATAAGTACTGATATAGAGGAGATAAAACAAGTACTGCTATAGAGGAGAGAAAATAAGTACTGCTATCGAGATAAAAAAAAAAGAAGGCACTGCTATAGAAATAAAAAAAATAAGTACTGCCATAGAGGAGATAAAACAAGTACTGCTATAGACGAGATAAAATAAGTACTGCTATAGAGAAGATGAAATAAGTATTGCTATAGAAATAAAAAAAATAAGTACTGATATAGAGGAGATAAAACAAGTACTGCTATAGAGAAGATGAAATAAGTATTGCTATAGATGAGATAAAATAAGTACTAGAGGAGATGAAATAAGTATTGCTATAGAGATAAAAAAATAAGTACTGCCATAGAGGAGATATAATAAGTACTGCTATAGAGATAAAAAAATAAGTACTGCTATAGAGAAGATGAAATAAGTATTGCTATAGATGAGATAAAATAAGTACTACTACAGAGATAAAATAAGTACTGCTATAGAGATAAAAAAATAAGTACTGCCATAGAGGAGATATAATAAGTACTGCTATAGGAGATGAAAAAATAAGTACTGCCATAGAGGAGATAAAACAAGTACTGCTATAGAGAAGATGAAATAAGTATTGCTATAGAGATAAAATAAGTACTGCTATAGGAGATGAAAAAATAAGTACTGATATAGAGGAGATAAAACAAGTACTGCTATAGAGAAGATGAAATAAGTATTGCTATAGAGATAAAAAAATAAGTACTGCCATAGAGGAGATAAAACAAGTACTGCTATAGAGATAAAATAAGTGTGTTAGTGGTTATCTCTGCTGTTAGTAACCTGCTATGGGAGCCTCATTAGTTCTGTCGAGTACATGTATCGATGATTTTACAGGTGTGTTAGTGTTTATCTCTGCTGTTAGTAACCTGCTATGTGAGCCTCATTAGTTCTGTCCAGTACATGTATCGATGATTTTACAGGTGTAAATGTAAATGGAGGACAAATAAGAAGAGACATAGATACTCACTGCTGCAGGAGGTGGATTATAAAGACGAGGTGGAACTGTTACCTAAAGGTGAGTCAACCAAACTACACAGCTTATACAGGTGTAAAGGCCTGAGCTTGGTGTGTCCACAACTATCCTGCTGCTGATATAACATGCATTCATCATCAGTCAGAGGGACTGCAATTAACTATTGATGTAGCCGATATAACCAACTATGGAGCCTAGCTTGTTTATGCTTGCCAACTTTTGGTTGACGGTATTATATACTTGTGTTCCAGATTATTAAAATATTTAAGGATCCCTGTACCACTGCCAAAATATGAAACTAGGCATTCAAAACTTGTTTTCTGGCATGATTATAGCTATACAAAAAAATAAGAAAAGAAAAGTACACTTTGTGAGACTTTTATGGAAACATAATGGAAATGATATAAAATATATCATTAACAAATGTGTTATGAGTGTAACATATTCTGTGGGGCCAGACCGGTATTTAAACCCTGGACTTGAGATTGTTATTCTACCACTGAAACCGATTGAACTGAAACCGATTGATCTGAAACCAATTGAGCTGAAACCGATTGAGCTGAAATCGATTGAGCTGAAAACTGATTGAGCTGAAACCGATCGAGCTACCTGAAGAAAGGAAGTGTACAAGCCCAAATGTGCACCAGTTATATCCAAACAGAACTTAAGGGGAGGGTACTGTATATAGGAAAAAACGGCAGGGTAGTGGGACATGGATCCTTAAGTAATTGATCTTTTGGTACAAGCTTATTTTTATTCACTACTGCGATTATCATTTGCAATCATTTCTTTTATGCTTTTGTCTATTTTCGTGTCATATCCTTTTTCAAACCATAGTCCTCATGGAAATTATTTGAATGAATGCACTTATTAGAAATCTTCATGGTGTTATTCAGTTTCATTGAGACAGAAAAAACACTTATGAGAATTTTCCGTTGAGAATATTCCATCACCATCGTCTTTTGATGTATAGTTTGACAAAGCTAACTTGACTTGATTTATTTCCATACCATTAATCATGAATTTACAAATGCACAACACCTACATATAAAGCAAAGACTGCTTCCTAGAAGTAGTGTACATTCCAAGAACTTTTTTAAAAGGAAATGATGGATTTTTTATATAAATTTCCCACTATTTTAGTTCCTATATACAGACCACAAAAAGGTTTAAAATTTGGAAATACGAGGTGAGTACTGGGCTAATTTTACAGCAGGTCAAAGGCATGAGATCATTAACAGACCTTTAATCATCATAAATTTGTATCTACAGTTGCTTTATTCGGAGCAAACAAATTTGGAAGGTGAGTATTTAGTTGTGTGGGATATAAAGCATGTCAACAGGTACAGATTATGTGAGTTATCTCCCTTCTCTAGAGGTACACTCTGTCTGGTAAGTTGTACTAACAATTTTACAAAATACCCTTGTCTCTTTAAAACTTTGAGGTGATTTATGTTGGTTTTTCTCCATGAAGAGGTAGGTTTACTGGAAACTGGGTAATTTTTGCGGCAGTGTTGTTATCACATTTTTCACAGAAGGATTTGACCATGCTTTCAACAATACAGCAACATTTTCCAGTTCCATGGCCATTGGTTATAATTATTGTGAGATCTGATTTGAGACTTTAGACAAACACAATAAAACAATCAATATAGAATACAACATACAGTTTGCTTTGTTAACTTGTTGAATTCAAGGTTACAGACAATTAAAATTGTATTCCATACATGTTTTTTTATAATTATCACAGATACTGTTAAAACCTCAATAAGGGCACATTAAAATGTTTCATCGTTTTAAAATTCCACAGCTGGATGTAACCTTAACATGAATAACACAAAACTACTGTAGGTATATAGTCACATTAAATTTATCAAATGTACAAAATTTCGGGTTGACCTTTTTTCTATGAAGTCAACTCTTCATGAATATTGATTTCTTGAAAAAGGCACAAAATTAACCATGTGAATTAAAAGCTGTAATACAGTATCTATATCTCTTAAACTCTAGTCTAGTGAATACAGCTTGTGCTAGCATGTACCGAAATGACATGGCTACAGGGGTTTTATCAGCCTGGTTTTATACCAGTAGCCCTCTATGAATTCTTTCTTTCCACAGACAGATTGACACACCCAGATTGATCTTTTCATATTCTTAAGAACCCAGCTGTATTTCAATCATCTTCAGGCATTTTACATACAGTATAGCATTGTATAGGCAGAATCAATGTAACGATAATTGAATGATGTTAATTTCAGTTCCCATACATACATTACTGATGTTTTTCTTAAAGGGATAAGGTTAGACCTACACCCTACTGGTGATCTATATAATATAGATCTACACCCTACTGGTGATCTATATAACACGGTGTGTATACATGTTCCATTGGTTCGCAGATTTGTTTCAATGTGAAAGACTGAAAACAATTCATTCCTTTGTATGGTATAGGATAAACAATGTAAAATGCTCACTCATTCAAATGGTAAGAAATGTATTAAGACCAGTTGTGAAATGTTGAGACAAGTTCAAAAGTACATTGTGTCAAAAAGAAAATGTGTGTACAGGCCTTCTATCAAGTCATGAAACTGTCTTGAAACTTTAATATCTTGAAATCTCTTGAATATTGGTCATTTGAGTAAGTTGATCAGAGCTGTACGTGTTTTTGATAAGTGTAATCTTCCCATTTCAGCAAATGCCTTTAAACCTTGTATTCTGTCTAAACTTTCACCCAAGGTTTCCTTCTTGAAAAAGTTTGTTACAATAGCAAAACACCAGATGTTCCCAATATGACACTTGTGATCTGACAAAATGGCAATATAAAATACCAGAAACGTTTCATTATGTACAGTAAAGAACAAGATTATCTATTCTGGTATATTGATTTGTAATCATATGAAGACTGATTGACAATTTGATTTATGTAAATAAGAAAGAACAGAATGTTTGATTCTATGATATATAAATATATTTTTACTTGTGTATATTGACTGCCTGTTATCTTATAAAACAAAGTGTGTTTTTTTTTTCAAAATGTTGGCCATTAAAACAACTTTAACAAAACATTTATCAGTGCATGAGTAAAGAATAAATTCAATAAATAAAACACTTTCTCAATTGAGCTACCTGTTTATCTAGAGCACAGAGTCTGAGTTTACGCATGATAATGGGTTTATGAATATGTGCCGTTTGAACTTTTTTCTGTTTTTTCTTTCAGGAAAAATACAAAACAGCAGCGTAATGATATCTGAGTCAGACTTTTCTAGCGATGAGGAAACTTTATTTGTGAACCATAAAAAGACGAACGGTTTTGTGCAGAAACCACTAAATGGTATTACTAAACAACATTTAAAAACCAAATTAAAAACCTGAAACATTGCAGTGAATAATTATTTAATCATCGTTAAAATGCAATGTGTTCTGCGTGTTCAGGACAATCTTCCAATCTTTAAAGTGTTGAGAAAATCTCACAAGTAATGTACTACCATTCCCATATCTGCAAAACAATCTCCGAGTCAAACCTGACATTCCATGATTCCAAAGTGAGGCTTACCTTCAGACACAAAGAATTTCCTTGGACACAGTGAATCATCATTTACACCAACAGGAAATGCTGGACAGTTGATCTCATTCCAGGATTCAACAGAACCTGGGACTTAGATTCCAGAACGACATTATTCTCAAACATTTTGTTATGTAATTTGCAAGGATATGAGATTTTCGTGTACCATAACAATGGAGATTTTCCATCACTTTATGATGTTTTACACAAGTGGGACTCCTGGATTGCCTGATCTCTTCATATGTCATGTATATTCAATCCATCCATCAGCTATTATCAATTGTCATGAAACTCAAAGAGGTCAGGTATTACATTATATATTTAAGATTGTTGTGTACAAAGCGGGATATCGGTATCAAGGTAAAAGTTCATGTTCATCACACCAGGACAACACATGGTGTTGGATGGCAAATTCTTTCTGATGTTGGGATATATGTCCATGTATCATTTACCGATCTCCATGGAAACAGAGGGCAAAGTTCAATGATTCGACAACCCTGTAATGTGTTGTGCTAATGATGCATATCAAAGGGTTGTTTATAATACAAAATACCATATCTATTCTGATAGAATATATCCAGGCTTCATATATTGCTGTATATGCTGGGGAATATATCCAGGCTTCATATATTGCTGTATATGCTGGGGACTGGAACATTTCTTCAGCAGGAAGCATTTATTAGAATAAATACGCTACCTTCCTCTATTTTTACCTACTCATTATACATGAGTAAATAAGGTTATTAGTTTCTTTGCAGAATTTTTTATTATACAAAACTAAAATTACGAAAATTGTAATGTAGGTACAGAGATATATAATATAAACTATGGTATCATATATGTAACGAATTGTGATCATGTTGAGCACATACAGTCATGTACATGATTTTAAATTCACTCACTTAGAATTGCTTAACCTAGAAATCCTGGTCAGGTTTATAGATGTTACAGTACTTGCCCATATTAGGACAATATACAAATCTGTTCGATAAGAAATCCTTGTTCATTACTGATCCTGGTTAACAATTGTCCTTAGAACAGTTATGTAATAATGGTACTATTTAACATAGAAGAAGATGCTTACAACACCATCTAGACTGTTAACTTGACTGACTTGCATTTTCAGAACAATACATATATATTACTGTAGAAATCCCTTTTCATTCTGACTATGACATACTGAAGCTAACCTTTCTCTTCAATTACTTGTTCCTGGGTGAGCATTTCTCCATTTTGATTATATATCAAAAAAAAAAAAAAATCCCCCCAGAATTCCTAAACTATGTAATATTCAAATTCAGTGAAGTTCAGACAACAAAAATTAGTCATAATACCGTCTGTTTAAGGACACCTGTACCACTGCCTGAAACTGTAACGAACTCTCCACAACTGTATTTCTGGCATGACTATTCCATCTTTACGTATTGCAGAGTTATCTGCTCTTGATAGCAGGTATTGAATGTTCATCATTTGTTTGTGAGAGTAACGTCATCATTTTTTGAGAAAACGACGTAATTTTCTCACACAAACTAATGACGTAGCAATCAATACCTGCTCATAAGAGCAGATAACTCTGCAATACGAAAAGACAGAATAGCTTTGATAAATCATTTCTCAAAAGAACACCCTACCTTGTGGGACTTCCACGAGAAATAATAAAGAAGATAATAAACAGAATGTAAGCAACAATATTTTGAGTGTAAAAATAAATACTAGTGCTAGACTGGGATTCTAACCCTGGACTTCAAATTGATATACCATTGCTAACCGATTGTGCTACCTGGTCAACAGATGTGTCCTAGCCCCACTGTTCTACAGTTACATATTCAAACGGATGTTAAGGGGAGGTTAATGCATACAGGGAAAAACACAGTGCAGTGCGACAGGAATCCTTTACAATCAATCCTATCAATAAAAGCCTGTTGTCAGTAACCTAAGATAGCAAAAGGAATATTATGTATTTCTATAAAAGTCAGATGTTTGCATTTTGGTTAAATCACACAAAAGATTATTTTTTTTATCTGAAAGTTCATTTAACATTATATGCTTTCTTGCACAGAACATGTTATTTAAATTAGAGTGCTCCTCCTTTAACTATATTAAGTTACCATTGTCTAATAATACAGAGTTGTCAAAGTGTAAGATATTGCATCAGCATCATTATCAACATGTTAGTGAATACTTTTATAATGTAGGAATCAGTGTTCGTACAGTGAGTTTGTACAATTGGTTTGAGGCATCAATTAACATTACAAGTTCCAAATAATGCTACCTGTTGGAAGACAGATTGCTTTAATTGTCAGGTTGAAAATCCATGTCAATGGCTACAAAACCTCGTAATTTTTCAGTCTGTTTTTTTCCTGTATTTTTCCTGACCAGACACAAAGCCTTGTCAATATAATTTGAACCATTTAAAGCCTGATTTATGTATATTTACATATCTGTTAGAACTTGTAGTAATTTGCAAAGTTAAAACACCAAGCAGATACATAAAAACATGCTTTTGAAAAATTATTGTGATACAGCAATATTTCATCTCTGTATTGTGGTTCTATAAGATATACCCGTGTATTGCGATTTACCTGTTTTCTGATATAATGTGACAGCCCTACTGTATGTTATTGAGTCATTTACAGAGTCCCTACTTCAGAACTCTTTTGAAATGGAGGTGAAGTTCACAGTAAGATAGTTCAGTGACGATTACATTATATGTCACACTCTGGTACAGCAGTAGTTAACAGATATGGTGACCATGTTGTAGTCATCTCATTCTACAAACCATTCCATCCAATGTATCTATACTGTTATAACTATTGTCTTCTATTGTCTTATAAAGTTCACCTGTACATACAGAATTATATATATACTGTACGAGTTATTTATTTTGTGAAATATAATATTTTAAAATACATTCAGTTAATGTATAGAAATCCATAGTAAGTTGTGTATGTGTAATACTATCTATGTTCACAGTACTTGTATGATCTGTGTGTAGGAAATCATCAGACCAATTAGATATTTCTTCTTCCTTCTTCTCGCCAAAATATTGCAGACATTCAAGATTTACAAGCTCTTCTGAATTTTTTCTCCTTCCCCAACATAGAAAGTCTTTATGTCAACTGAAAGAAAGATTTGAAATATATTCTTGAATCGTCACATTAAACTATTCCATTTTGTTTCTGAAGAAGGTAGCAGTGTGTCTCTAAGAGAGTAAGTGTTTTATGGATATCCTGTTAATATACATTTAAGATGTTTATGGGAATAGATTGAATGTATTGTTGGTAATAGATTGAATGTATTGTTGGTACATGTATATCTTTACCTCATACCTGTTACATTCCCCCTCCCCCCGTCAATTTTACTTATAGAAAAAGTTACCAATCTATTTACACAGAGTAAATAATTTTTATAACAAACCCCAGGAGATTGTAGATGTCGTGGAACAAAGTATGGTTTTGATGAAGACAAGAGTATGCAGTAAGCATGTGTCACAGCTCTCAACATTGCAATAGGTTATACTGCATGTTAATCAGTCAATATCAATATTCTGTGTATTCAATATTTACATTTATTATTTTTTCATATTATTCCCGACAAGTGATTGGCCAGGAATGCATCACGTGTCCACCGATAAAAAACCGATATTGACTTGGAGCGCATGATTTTTTGTTGAAGGACTAGGTGTTTCTAAAAATAGAATTATGACGTGTCTCCAAACAATACACCGTCCCACTTCCGAAGCTTTTTTGTTGTGTTTTTTTTTCTCATATTGCTTATATTACTGTTTTGTAAATAATAAAACAATTATAGTCTTTAACTTAGATCAATACCTGGATTTATCGACCCAAGAAAAGATATATTCTTATAAAAAAAATATACCTTTTCTCGGCTCGATAAATCCAGGTATCGACCTCAGCCAAAGGCTATAATTGAATAATGCTTGTCAAAATAAAAGTCAACCTTTTGATTATAACTATATATATACTATACTAAGCCCCATAACAACTGAAGAAGGATACAAGATATACCAGTCCACCAAAACACACATGTAATTAATGTACATAATTATATATTGGGGAAAAAAAATGAGATTCAAAGTAGAAATTGAGATGCGTAGATAACACCAAGGGCAGCCTCTAACGCTAACAACTGCATAATAATTCACATATCTGAGATCTAAACATGATTTTCATTATTACATATGTGTATATATGTGGTGTATAAGAGACTGAATTAACTGTGATCCTGGACCAAAATGTACACCAAAAATTAGATTATATGCCTGTATTGAACTACATGGATTATTTATTATTCAATTTCTCAGAAAGAAGCAATTTAGTTCTGTACAGATCTGAGACTAGGATTTTGGTGCAGTGTACTTAATTTGGAAAAATTCAAATCAAAAAGGTTACCAATTTGCAGTTTTGAGATTGTCGAGTCTGTAGAGTTTCTCAGTTATATTTATTTGTTATCGTATTCATTAAAATACCTATACCCAAGAAAATGGCCAAAAAACAAATAACGTGAAATAATCTGGTATACAGCCATTCACAAGCTTTTTACTTTAACAGTTATCGTGATTTTGGAAAGCAAGGAATTATATAAGAAAGTGTTTTTAATTTCAAACATAGTGATTCCGATGTTTAACCATTACATTCCTATATTGTACTAAAAAGGGGTGGGGAGGTTTAGGGGATTACCAGACTCATTCCTTAAGTGTGAGAGTTGTGTGAAGTTGGATATAATAGACAAACTCCTATATACAATGTAGTACATATTAAAGGGGGCAAATGGTCAAGAAATTTTATTTTATGTTGAAATGTAATTCTACAAATGGTTGGTGTTAAATACATGTAAACTGAAAGTAAAACTGTTTACATAATGTGCTCAAGGTTATTATATACATGTTTATGTGTTTGTTTGTATGTTATATATATGTAATATAGACATATGGTTAAAATGTGTAATAAGTATGTTGACATGTTTCTTTAAAGGTGAAGGGCAGTCACCTTCCATCAGCTAAAATTCAACTCTTAAATGTGCAATTTTTTTCTATTCTGTCATATGAAAACAAATTTCCAAATGGCTTGTCAACATATAGCCTGACTCTCAGTATATGTTTGTATTGTTATTTTTGGAGTCTGTTTCTGTTAAGGTTAGTAACTGACATGGTATGTTGGTTAATTTTGTTTTGTTTTCACTATAACTTGTATCATTTACCGTATTTTACCTGCAATAAACCCAAGGGTTGTAATTACCCGTAACATTTTTATAAGAAAACTGGTATTATTTGTTAACTTGATCCTATATGCAAGGGGTATACTGATAACTAACCTGTAAACATTAGTTTTAACTGTGAGGGGACAAATGAATATATAATGGATAAGGTAACTATGATTATCTTTTGCCGATTTTGGAATTCCATTTTTTCCATTCAGTCTTTGTTGGTTTGATCTATTCCACTATCAATGAAGCTGCAGGTTGTAGAAAGGACAGGTGGTTTCAGTTTACAGGAAACTATGGTTGAGACGAAATTACATTTCGTGAAGTTGGCACTTCTATAACATTGGGTAGTGTGTATTCACATTTAGATCATGTTCCTCAAAAAAATACTCTAGAGAGGTAAAGATATTTTAATTCTTTTTTTTTTTAAGAATTTGAAAAATGATAAATTTTGTTAAATTCCTTTTCTAGAAACAGAATGACATAGAAATAGTGGCTATGAAATCCTAACATTTACTCACCATAATATTGAAGTACAACTGAAATGCATATATAAAGCTTAAACATTTTCATTGAATATTGAGTTCATTCTAAATTTAATTAAAGTTAATTCAACTGAATCGGGTTGTATACTTGTCATCCTTTAAAAACCTCAAAAGAGGGAGGGTTAATATCAAGTCCAATGAAATAACCTGGGTATTTTTAAAGAGATAATGATTGCACTCTCAGTCAAATTGTTTAGATTACAATAGAGCAGTATTACAGAGCTCCCAGAACTTCAGTCTGAAACTTGTTACGTCTGGTGTTCAGACCTTGCATGTCATGATGTGTATGAAACCTGTAGAATAGGAGTTGTTATTGAATTGGAACAAATTATTGCATCATTGTAAATAAATTTTATATTTACACAGGTTATATAGGATTGTGTTGTTTATTAGCCTTCCTGTTACTTAGGTAATGAAAACCATGACGATATTGAATGTACTCTGTGTATATGCCTTTCTGCTCCAGAAACATGTGGCCACTCACTTGATGTCATCTGTGAAGAGACCTTACCCAGGTATTTAGTAATCTCCCACCTTGGCTTTGAAAAGATTATATTCTTTCCCCATCTTTGGGGTAAGACCGAAAACTAACCCCAAGGCTTTAGATATTTTCTATCTTGCTCCTCAGTCATTTAATGGCTGCTACAGTCTTTTTTTGGCTCTGGAGTCTGAGAGAAAAGACTTGTAGCTTAAATTGTGCCTCTGGAGAACGAT